AAGGCCATCATTATCTTCTGATGTAGAGAGGAAGGCACACATTTGTTGGTGTGAATCCAATCTCTTCCAAGTAAAGCATTATACTTAGCATTGTTGTCGATAACAAAAAATGCTGTCATGCAGTCCCTGGTTCCCACACTCAAGTTGATGGGCAAAATACCTTGGGCCATTTGTTTGTCTCCAGCGAAACCAACAATGGTTGTACTGGTTGGGATTAGTCTGAGGTTCTTCTTTCCCAGTTTCTTCAACAAAGATTTTGGAAGTAGGTTTACAACTGCCCCGTTATCCACTAGCACCTGATTCATCTGTATTCTATCGAAGAAGGCCTTGATATACAAGGGTTTGACATGCTGTGCATGGATGTCGTGGGATACTCAAAAGGGTATGAGAGGTTAATACTTACCTCTTCCTCACTCTCATCCTCAGTTTTTATTGGTGTGGCTGCTTCGAATTCATCTTGCACCGTACTTACTAGTGAGTCTTCACTGGAGACTGGAATTGGGTCAACCTCCTGACCTTGGTTTTCATCTTCAACTTGAAACTCCTATGGTAATATAAGCACCATATTCACTGACACCGGAGGGAACGAGCCAAATTGGACGACTTGCTGCACCTGCTCTCCCTCTTAGTCAACTTGTTCAATTACTTCAAGAGCGTCTTCCATGCTACATTCTAGCACTTCTGTATTAGTAACTTCCTTCGAATGGTCTGTTTCTGTTGGTTTTTCGACCAAAAATGTCTGTTCAGCCACGAAGGCTTCAAACATTTCTTCCTCAACCATCCCCTTCGTTTGGCCTGCGATGACTTCATCTTCTATCTCACTATCACTTTCCATCAAAGTTTTTTCCAATCCTACCAAGCTGGATTTTTTCTTGGCCTTTAGTTCGGAATGAACTTTGGCCAACTACTCCCTGCTACAACTCCTTTTGTCTGGGAGAGTTGATTTTGATTTCAGATTATGGTCTAACTTTGAATCTTCTTCTCCTTCTGCCTGGCTCTTTAACTGAACCAATGAAGAACTTTTCCCACCTTCTTTCAAATCCTTCTGGTACTAAGTGTACCTTCGTTGGATCTTCCTTCTTTGGGACATAGAAATCACCGGGACCATATTTGGTTCTTTGTTTTTCGGGTGCTTAAGCAATACCCAATTGTTTGGAGCCATTAAAAGAGGTTTGACCATCCTACCTAGGTTCCCAACAACATTTCTTTGGGCAGACATCTCCTTAGGTTTGTTTTGCATGACAAACCAATCTGAAACTCCAGGTACCCACGAACCTACTGACCCAGCTGTTGAACTGTTTCTTTCTTCCTTCGAAGCCATCTTCGAAGCTGGCTGTAAAGGCCACTGCTTGGCCCTGACTCCCTGTTTTGGACCTAACTCAGGCCTTTGATGAAGGTGGCCACTTTCTGTCCTATGTGAGGCTAGTCTAGGAGGCCAATCTCTGGTTTTGATCCCATAAACCGAACCCTTCTCCGATCTCCTTTCAAGATGACTGCTCTCCACTCTGTAATAATTAGGTGCTCTGGACTCATATAAAGGCCTTTTGCCTTTAGAATGCACTGTAGCGGCTGCTACCTACTGTTAGTTGGATATGGCCTTTTGTTATAAGCACTGGTTGGTTTAGGACGCCTCTGCACATCCTTGTAATATTGCTTCCCATCAATTGGAAGCCCTTTCAACCACTTGTAACTCAGCCTGCATCTGAGACACATTCTTTGCATGACAGCTGCTTCTAAAGAATCGTCATCCAGTGCTTCTTCATCAGAGTCTTCCCTCTGGTCTGAAAAACCTTGTCCAATAACTGGTAGATTTCCAGTGTCTTTCTTGACAGTTGTCTGGCTGGCAACATGTATTTGCACATTGACTTCTTCTAATTCTTTCAAGGACAAGTTCTGGAAGTCTGTCGTGATAACATTGGCTGCCACCTCTCCAATTTCTGGGAATGGATTAGTATCAATCCCCATGGCCTTTTCTGCTTTAGTTGGGAATTTTAAACTCCCCTTTCGAATCTGCTCTTGGATCCTGTCTCGAAAAATAATGCAGTTTTTAGTTGAGTGAAACCAAGAATTATGCCATTTATAATACACTTTTCCTTTAAGTTCCTCTGGAGATGGAATTTTGACTCCTTTTGGTAACTTTAGGAAATTTGCAGCAAGCAGACGATCAAAAATGTCATCTGCCTTTGTTAAGTTGAAAGAGTATTTCCTATGAAGGTCTTTCTTTTTAAACTGCTGGTCAATTGTTGTGTCTTTATGAATTAATGCTTCACAGATCACAGGTTCTTTTCGTACGATCTCTGCTGCATCGGTCTCATAATTAGGATGTCTATAATACGTCTTGTACGATGCATTACTTCGATCTTGTTCTTCTTCTAGTAATGCTTCGTACCTAGACACGTTATAGGTTAATTCCACTAAGTCTCTAAACTTAGTTGAGTCAAACTTCTTTCGAAGCCTAAACTCTAGACCATTTTGAGCCAATGTCACAAATTCAGGCTCTGGTAAGATGATCCTACATTTATTTTGTGCTCGTTTAAATCTGACAATAAACTGAGTAGCCTTCTCATCAAGCCTTTGACTCAATCTTGCCAAGTCTGTCATGGAAACCTCTGGCTCTGTTTGGAAGAATTGGACATGAAATGCCTCTTCCATTTGTTGCCAAGTTTGGATAGAGCCAGGTGTAAGGTTAATATACCATACAAATGCTCCCCCAGTTAGAGAATTTGGGAATAATCTTAACTTCATATAGTCACTATTGGTAAATTCATTGCACTGAGCCGCGAACCTAGCAATATGCTCAATTGTTGACTGGTTTCCATTCCTATAAAAAAAGGGCAAAATCTGGTATCTTGAAACCTCTTGGGTATTCATGTACCCTATCTACCCATTCTGGGTACGATTTCCTGTACACAGGAGTCTGAACCCCCCGAACCATTGGTCCACACATATCTCTAACAACGTCAGCAATTTGGTCCCTAGGGACCATATTTTGTGCCTATTGAACCACTACTGGAGGAACAAACACAGGATTTGATGGACAACCTTGTGCTTGGGGTCCTCTTGGTCCATAAGGTGGTACATTTGGGACTGGTTGTCCTTGTGGTACTGGCTGTTGTTGAGGGTATGGATGACCACTTTGAGCCTGCCCTGCAAAAGGACCTGCGAAAGGTGCTAGAACAGGTGTTGTGTCTCTTCCAATTGTAGGAAAACCTTCCAACCCCCCGGTTATAAATTCGAATAAAGGGTTAGTGAACCCCCTTGTGCCAGGTATGGCTTCGAACATGGGATTTGGAACCATCCTTATGTCATTTTCTTGTACTAGGCTAGATCCACCAATTTGCATGGCTTCATTGTTAAGTAATGAGGCATTTTGACTTACCATAGGCCTCGAAAGAGGCTCATACCAAGACTGAAGTGGTAGTCTTTCATGGTTTTGGTTACTAGTTTGACCATTAGTATATCCATTACTCTGCATAGGCTGTTTATCTCTAGCCAATCTTTGCTGAGGGACATTTGAAATTTCCTCCATATGTCTTGTGTTTGTTGGTTGGTGGGTATTCATTAGTATATCTATTACTCTGCATAGGCTGTTTATCTCTAGCCAATCTTTGCTAAGGGACATTTGAAATTTCCTCCATGTGTCTTGTATTTGTTGGTTGGTGGGTATTCATTCGATCCAAAAAGGATGTTGCCCACCTTTCCATTGTGTTCATTAAGTGCTGTCCCATGGCATCTACTAGGCCACCCCATGGATTCATTGGCTGAGTAGATGAAACAGTGGATGGTCCAATTCCTTGGCCTCGTCCAATAGTATGAACATGTGGTACTTGTTCCGAAGTGTTGGTCTGTTCGACCATAGGTTCTGATAAAATAGGTGTTTCCACAGAATGTGTTATCATATTATCCTCTAGATTAGGTATTTCTACCTCTCCTTCCACGCCTTCTTCCAAGCGTTCATTTTCTCCTTGTCTTCTACGTCTAGCCATTTCAATTAGTCCCACTGGGTGTGCCGAAAATATATGTTGGCTTTTTTGGTTTTTGAAGGTTATTTTTGTAATTGTGAGCGTGCCAACAAGGATCAATCAATCCGTACAAAAATTTAATTGCCAACCAATTATCAAACGATTGTGTTTTAGTTCTTTCAGTCTCAATGAAGAGGACTTTTACTGGTAGCTTTGCTTAGGAGGAATAAGCTGACAATGATTAATTAAAGAACAATTGTAGTATTTCATTAAGTACAACGAAAGACTTACAATGATCCAATTCAGCCTCGTAGAGGCTTACAACAACAATCTACTTAAAACTACTCCTATGAACGAAATGCAGTGTAGAAATTTGAAGTACAGAAATGTAAAGAACAAGAAAAGTAAAAACTGGAAAAGAAATAAAATAGAATAAAAATGGTTTTCTAGATCTGAGTCTGAGAGTTTTTTTGGGGCTTTTTCTGCTATTTATACTTCTCAAGGATGACCATTGAACTACACTTCTACCCGTCGAATCACTCCTCCATGATCGCTGATCATGTTGCCTTATAGTTAGCCCCATTATGCCATTACCTGCAGTTAAGCTTCCCTCCTGATTTTGAATTTGAATGTGAGTAACCGTTGAAGCCACATCACTTTGCATCTTTTTGCTGATCTAGTACTACATAGATCTTGTAAGAAACAACACTATCTGCCACGTGTACGACCACAATCGAAGACTTGAGCAGTCTTTCCATATTACCCTTATTTTGTCACGTGTCGAATTGCAATTGGCTTATACAAAATATGTAGCCAACAAATACACACAGCAAACAATGTTGTATATGTAACCAACCCATCACTGAAAAGTAGAGCATAATGACTTCTTCAACTGCTTATTTGTTCACTGATTTTTCATCCTTCTCTTCTTCCTCATCGTCTGATGATGCAAAAATTGTTTCCCTTGTGGATCTTTATGAGATAAATAATGCTAGTATGATACTGATACTGACAGGAAGTGATCAATCAAAGAAAAAAGGTGGCTCTGTTGTAAGACATAAGTACATATGTCGCGAAAAAAGAAAGGGACATGATCAATTGGTTGCGGATTATTTTGCTGTAAATCCAGTTTATTCATCTAACACATTTTGGAGACGTTTTAGAATGCGTCGTGATCTGTATTTACAAATTTTGCATGCCATTGAAGCACATGACACTTATTTTGTTCAAAAAAAAGATGCAACTCATATTCTCATATTGTTTCCACTTCAAAAGACAACTTCAACAATTAGAATGCTCGCATATGAAGTGGCAGCAGATGCAATTGATGATTATGTGCAAATTGGGGAAAGTACAACAATTAAAAGTTTGAAACACTTTTGCAATTCAATTATCGAAATCTTTGGACCTGAATATCTTAAATCTCCATCACCAACTGATGTTGCTAGATTACTTGCTATTAGGGAGGTTCATGGGTGTGGACTGGCCTTTTTCGGCACCCCGCCTTTCAGAAAGGTTTGAAAAGAAGGCCTCACAGTTCGGACTCCCGCGGTTCTGAATCTAGTCTCACAAGTGCAATGTGAAACTGATAAACATCAAAGAGTCCAAATTCGACAAATCTTTTTGGAAAATCGATTTTAAATCAAATAATGCTAAAATTGGACTACTTTTCCAAATACAGAGTCGCCGCCTAAATATTTTATTTTTGGAAAAATTTAGGAAACCCATGACTTATGCCAAAGGCCACGTGTCCGTCATCACCAAAGTTGCCTCGGCTCGAGAACTTAGGTACGAGAGAGGAAGGTCATGAATTGAGCACCCCCGCTCGCCCAATCGAAGATCGGCCTCTACTAATCATGATATGATGTTTTATAAACATTATATGCTCTTGTTCCGATTATTTACACTAGTTTTATTATATGATGCGCACAAGCAAGTGTAGACTAGTTTGCTAGACTTGGAACAATTCAACTCATGTTTGTTTGAGAAAATGGCTTGAATTTGCCACCTCAAGTGGGCTTAAAGATATGGATTTGCCACCAAATATACTGGGCTTAAAACATGATTTTCCACTCAACAAAGTGGGCTTAAAATGTGCATTTGTTGAATCGTTTCAATTCAAACAACAAGCCTTCATCCACAGGCATTCATGCAGTTTAGCATTTGAGCACATAACCTCATGGCAAGCATGCTAATCATGGCAACATTCACACTTATGCAAGTATGCTAAAGCGTAAAACTTACCGAGTACTGCAAGCCAAACAGAAACTAGTTAGAAAGATGTATGATCCTAACTATGTTAAGTGTCTAATGCAACACATGCAATATGCAATTAATAGACTCGGCTACTAATAAGACATATGGGTCAATTTGATAACATACAGTTAAACACGTATTCAAATAAGATATCGAAATGGCAATGCAGTTTGAATGATACGTCGAGCCTCTGTGCATGCAATACAAATGAATGGATGCAAGCATAAGATATGCTAATCGAAACATGTCCCTAATTTAACCATCAAAAGCGATTAAATAAAAGGGAGAAAGACGTGGGGTTGGAAAACATACACACACGCACGCACACTTATTACAACATTACACCCTCGCGAAGGAGGGTCCGAATGAATAAAAGCTAACAAGCTAGCTACGCTAATTAAACTAACTAATTATTACAAACCGAAAACTAATTAACTATTCTAGCTAACTAATTAAATAATTACATCACATCTAATTAACTACTTAGCTAATTAATGGATTACAAGTCAACTACAAGTAAACTAAGTAATCAACTACTTAGCCCCGGGAAGCGAGGGATGCATGCATGCTCGATCCTTCACTCGAAAAGCCACTGTCTTCCTGCTGCAAGCCTCTGTATGCACATTTGATCACTAAAAATTCTGCCAACTTCCAAAACACCTCTACTTCACCTTACCATCACACTAAGCAAAAATTACTGACGGCCGACAAGAGGGACAAGGGGCCAGTCGGCTACCAATAGTGGCTGGTCGGTTACCATTGGTGACCGGTTGGCCACTGCTGGTTTTCACTTCCATGCTGCAACAGAGAGCAAAACAGTGTATTCTCACAAGTTGTTTGTACTGTTTACCCTCCTTATCATCACACAAACTCAAAGGAGAGAAACTCTTAGCCCTCAAACCATCAATCAAGCAATTTTCAAGCATGATGGCTAAGGGACCAAGTTTGCACAAGTTCAATAAATGCACAAACATGACCAAAATGACCACCACCCTATCATGCATGATCAAGGGCAATGGTGACCTAGGAAAATAACACATTTCATCACTTTGAGTATGAAATGTTCTATTTTTCTTGTGTTCAAATTAACGTCCGATTTGAACACATGCAATGCAACACAAAGAATGCTTATCTTGTATACTTTTACTTGCCAATTTTGTTTACTCATTTTAATTACCAAACCATTCTTTAGTCCATTTGTCAATTGGTGAGTGTCTTCTAAAGTGAAAGAAGTGTCAACCAAGGGGTGGTTTAAGGCATGAGAGAAGCTTCATGCCGTTGGTAATGAATCCTCAAATGAGGATTAAACCATTAAGCATGTGCCTCAACCTCAAGCTTAAACAACCCTAAGGTTGAAACAACTCTCAAAACAAATGAAAAAGTGAAGAAATGAGAGAGATTGCAGAGATTTTATGTACTGAAATTGAGTGATAAAAGCACTAAAAATTTGCAACCAACTCACACCAATGATGCTTAAAGCCTTAAAACACTTAACTAGTGAAGAAATTAACACTATAACTATGCAAAACAAGACTCAAACAGACTAACTAGCCCAAAATAGAGCTAAAACATGTTAAAATAGAGTGTAAAACTTGCTGGACTCAAGCTAAGTAAGGCTAGAAAAACATACTAACATGTGATGCTAACATGTGAAGCTAACTAGGCATGCAAGAAAGACATGAGGAGGGGAGGCTAACCCCTCCAATTTTGGACTTCAAAATAAGTTTTTGGCCACTGAAAATACTTTGAAATTCAGTGGTTAAAAGGCTAAAAAAAGTTGATTTGAAAGTGATGAATAAAGGCAAAAAGGTATACAAGCTAACGAGTAAGAAGGGTGAACCACCCCTAACTAAAAAAGGCTCAAACCACGACTTTTAAGACACAAAAATAGAGGTTTTTTTGGTTCAAAACCAGCCTCAAAACAGTTTAAAAAGATGAGAAAACAAGTATACTAAACAAGTGAACAAAGCAAGTAAACTACCTCTTGAAGCAAAGAGCAACTCTAGGCACAAATCCAAGCTAAAACCATTTGCTAGAGCTCAAAACAAGTCTCAAGGAACCTCAGCTCAAAGAGAAGTAACTTTGATCAAGGCAGTGTATGTAAAAGTGTAGAGAAAACTAGCTACAAAACACAAAATTATAAGAGAGAGAGAATTTTGTTCCAAAATTGTTAACCTCTCAAAATGGGGGAGGAACCCCCATTTTTATAGAAAAATACTCTTTGAGCTTAGGAACATTCCACCATACATATGTAAGCAGATGCAGCTCAATGTGCTAACTGCTGGCATTGCTGTCAACAAATATCTGGAAAAAGGCATTGGTGGTCGTCGACCACACCCCTGGCCGACAACCATTATCCACGGCCGATAGCCTATGGTGGTGGCCGACAGGTCACCAAAAGTTCCAGGTAAGAAAAAAACAAGGTTTCGGTCCAAAACAAGGCACAAAACAGATAAAGTTTCAAGGCTCAAAGACAGGGCACTCCGCTAAAGACTTCGAACACTCAAAACGAACACATGCAATCACAATCACCATATGCACAAGTGATGACGTCCAAGTCTTAAAGACGGTCAAAAATAGGGTGTCTACAATGGGTTTCTGGGTATGTTGGGAAGTTTGGATTGCATGTATTGGGAGTGAAAGAATTGTCCGACGGCATGGCAAGGTCAATATATAGGCCATCAGAAAAAGCCAACCATAATTTTTGAAGCAATAGTTTCTTATGACTTGGCATGCATTTTTGGAATGCCTGGATCACACAATGACTTGAATGTCTTGAATCATTTGCCCTTATTTTCTTATCTTGCCCAAGGGAAAGCTCTGCCTACTAATTTCACAGTTAATGGACACACTTACAATATGGGTTATTACTTTGCTGATCGTATATACCCTCCATGGGCAACACTAGTGTAAACAATCTCTTCTCCTCAAGGAGCAAAGAAGCAACCACTTTGCTTGGTTAGAGTTTTCCAAAACACCTTTCAGAAAATTCTCCTTTCTTATTTTCCGTATTTTTTTGTTTTTACTGAATTTTTTTAATATTTTAAGCAATTTTTTTTTAGACATACCTAACATAAATAAACCTAAAAAGTAAAAAAATTGTGAAAAAAACCTTTTAAAAATTCACTAAATACCAAAAATACAAAAAAAAAAAAATACGAGAATTCAATACATTTTTTGTATTTTTATGTATTTATTAATTTTTTAAAATATTTTTTCACAATGTTTTTACTTTTTAGATACATCTAAGTAAGGTGCATGTAAAAAAGTAAAAAATAAATGTTTAAAATTTTAAAAATATTCACTAAAAACAAAAAAAAAACACGAAAACCAAAAAACTTAATTTTCAAAAAAATTAATCCAAAAAACTCA